TTCTGTGTATAGGGTGAATTACATTTATGGATTTGCATATGTTGAACCATCCCTGCATCCCTGGGATAAAGCCCACTTGGTTGTGATGGATTATTTTCTTGATAAGTACCTGAATTTGATTATCTAGAAGTGTGTTGAATATTTTTGCATCTATATTCATAAGGGATATTGGCCTGTCATTTTCTTTCTTGTTGCATCCTTTCTGGGTTTGGTATCAGGGTTATGTTCACTTCAGAAAGTGTGTTGGGCATCAAGGATTCCATCCTTATTGATGTTGTGGAATAATTTCTTCAGGATAGGCACCACTTCTTCTTTGTAGGTGTGGTAGAATTCGGGTGTGCAACCACCTTGTCCAGGACTTTTCTTTTTGGGAAGGTTTTTTATTGCTTTTTCAATTTTCATACTTGATATTGATCTGTTCATGAATTCTAGTTCTTCCTGGTTGAGCCTAGGGATGCTGTGTGTTTCTAAGAATTTGTCTATTACCTCCACATTTTCCAGTTTGTGTGCATAAATGTTTTTGTAGTACTCATAGATTATATTTTGTTTCTCTGTGGCATCAGTTGTAATTTCTCCTTTATTGTTCCTGATGGAGCTTAGTAGAGATTTTCCTTTTCTGCTTTTCGTTAGTCTAGGCAAAGGTTTGTCAATTTTGTTTATTTTTTTAAAGAACCAACGTTTTGTTTTATTAATCTTCCATATAGTTTCCCTGTTGTCAATTTTGTTTAGTTCTGATTTGATCTTAATGATTTCATTTTGACTGCAGGGTTTGGGCTTGGTCTGTTCTTCTTTTTTCAGCTCTTTGAGTTGATACATTAGGGTTTCTATTTGTGATCTTTTTGACTTTTGGATATAGGCATTTGTGGAAATAAACTTTCCTCTCAGGACTACTTTAGCTGTATCCCACAGGTTTTGATAACTTGTGTCTCTTTTGTCATTTAGTTCAAAGAATCTTTTGATTTCCTCACTTATGAAGTGATCATTCAGCAGAAGGTTGTTTAGTTTCCATAACTTTGTGTAGAAATGAGAGTTCTTATTAGGGTTGTACTTTTAGGGTTGTACTAAGTAGGTTTAATAAGTAGTTGTAATAAGTAGGCTTGTATTTATTAGGGTTGTACTTTTATTCCACTGTGGTCTGAAAAGATACATGGTACAATTTCTATTTTTTTAAATTGTTTGAGACATGCTTTGTGTCCTAGGATATGGTCAATCTTAGGGAATGTCCCATGAGCTGATGGGAAGAATGTGTATTCAGTGGCTTTCGGGTAGAATATCCTGTAAATGTCAGTCAGGCCCATTTGTTCTAGAGCTTTGTTTAAATCTGTTATTTCTTTGTTTATTTTATGTTTGGAGGATCTTTCCTGTGCTGTCAGCAAGGTGTTAAAGTCTCCGGCTATTATGGTGTTGTCATTTATCCATTTGTTTAGATCATGTAGAGTTTCCTTTATGAATCTGGGTGCACCTAAGTTGGGTGCATACATATTAGAATTGTTATGTCTTCTTGTTGAACTGTGCCCTTCACCATTATATAGTGACCCTATTTGTCTTTTATTACTTTTTTTATTTAAAAACTAAGTTATGTGCAATCAATACCAAAAATGCCAGTCTTCTTTTGGCTTTCATTTGCTTGAAATATTGTTCTCCACCCCTTTACCTCTAGTCTAACTGCATCCTTGCAGGTTAGATGTGTTTCCTGAAGGCAGCAGATACTTGGCTTGTATTTTTTTTTAAATCTATTTGGCCAGCCTATGCCTCTTTAGTGGGGAGTTCAATCCATTCACATTTATTGAGATAACTGATAGGTGAGGCAGATTTCTGTTCATTCTAATGAGTTGAACTTTGTTGCTTTGTTTTCTCTCTTGAGCTATTGTGGTATTTGGCCTTTGATCTTTAGCTTTTGGGTAGATTTACATTCGTTAGTGTTTATTGTACTGACCCTTGGGTAACACTGTTTTTACTACTTCTTGGAGGGCTGGTCTTGTCTTGATGAATTCCCTCAGTCTTTGCTTATCTGAAAATGTCTTGATTTCTCGTTCATATACAAAACTTAGTGTTTTGGGGAACAGGATTTTGGTTTGGGCATTATTCTGTTTCAGAAGAGTGAGAATGGGTCCCCAGTCTCTCCTTCCTTGTAAAGTTTCAGTAGAGAAATCTGGAGTTATTCGGATTCGTTTTCCTTTGTATGTTACTTGCTTCTTTCATCTTACAACTCATAGAAGGGCCTCTTTAGTTGATATTTTGGTCAGTCTGATGACTGCATTTCGTGGTGTCTTCCTGTTTGCATCGAATCTGTCAGGGGTCCTTTGAGCTTCTTGTACTTGGATATCTAGATTTTGAGCAAGGCCTGGGAAATTTTCCTCTATTACATCTTCAAATAGCTTATCTAACCTTTGTGTGTTTTCTTCTTCCCCTTCTGGAATCCCTATAACATTCACATTAGGTTTCTTCACATAATCCCACATATCTTGTAGGCTTTGCTTTTTTCTCTTGTTTCTCTGCTCTATCTCTGTGACTGACTTATTTAATTGAAAGGTGTTATCTTCAATCACAGAGATTCTTTCTTCTGTTTGTTCTACCCTGTTCTTGAGGCTTCTGCTGTGTTTTATAGTTCCCTGAATAGATTTTTCATTTCCAGGAGTTCGGTTTGATTTTTCTTTATTATTTCAATTTCTTTAAGGAATTTTTCTTCCAGGTCCTGGATTCTTTTTGTCATTTCTTTGTGTTGGTTATCCCGTTTTTCTTGCAAATCATTGAATTTTCTTACAATCCATGTTCGAAATTCTTCTGTCATTTTAGTGGTTTGATTTTGGTTGATGTCCATTTCTAAGGGGCTGGTGGTCCTCTTTGGGGGAGTGCTTTCTGTTTGAGTCTTCATACTTCCGGAGTTCTTTCACTGATTTCTTTCCATCTTTCCAGTTGTTCCTTCTTACCTTTAGATTTTTGTTTAGATAATGGCACGCCCTGTTTAGTCTCTGAGCCAGTAGGTGGTGTTTGTGGGTGAGAATAGACCACGCCCTGTATGATGAATCAGTAGATGCCATGAGAAGGGTGTGCAGAATGACTTCCCTGTCATTTGGTGGTGCTTGCTACTGACAGTACTGGAGCTGGCTACAGTGTTGTTTTTGGGTCCTATAACCAGCAGTTGTTCCACTTGAGGTGGTGTGTCGGGCCCTCGGACTTTGGGGTGTGTCCTTATTCTCCACCTCAGTGAGGACTGGTCTGGAAGTCTGGGTGGAGCTGGGTTGGGTAAGCCTGCCCTCAAGCACCACAAATGCTGTTAGCAGGGGTCAAAGTTCTATTCTCTGCTTCTGGGCAAAGCTGTCATGGAGGGGCTGGAATGGCCCCATTCAGCCAGAAAGACTATGTTTGGGAGTATGGCTGTCTGAGACCTGCAGTCTGGAGCCGGCCACGCTCCTTTCCATCCTCCCTAACTCCATGGCTTCTCCTGGGCCTCTGCTAGCAAGCCAGTCCTGCCAGTGGGTCTCTGTTGGCTGTGATGCATGCTGGGAGGTTCCCTGCACAGGATCGCAGCCTTGGCTGGGCACACGGCCACTCCTTGGGAGGAGAGTTGCCCTCATGCACGCTGGTCTGCCCTTCAAGGCACACTGACCTTAGTAGGCTCATTCATGAATATCCCTTCTGTGCCCTGGGACAATGCGAGATCTGGGTGCACGGTATCTGGTGTGTAGGTTTGACCTCTAGGCCCTGGAATTCAATCCTTGCCCCTACCGGGGAGATGAGTGCTGGTCCTAATTTACCCACAGGGAGCCCAAGCTGGGTCGATGTCTTTCAGCCTCAGGATCTGCCCCATTTTCCTGGAGTCACCAGGCCAGCAGCACCTGGGAGGGCTGGCGTGTAGGGAGCTCACCAGCTGAGTACCCTTCAGTCAGCTATAAGGCCCCAAAAAGGAAGGTCCCATTCCATGGAGATGCCTCCAGCTGGTGGCATTGTCTCTCTTGTCTCTCTTGGTGGCTGTGGATAGGGAAGGGGGAGGGGAGAATGTAGTAATATTGTGTCTGCTGAGCGGCTTGGGTCTGTGCACAGGGAGGTGCTCCAAGGGAGTTGGGAGCCTGGTGCTGCGTCCGTTACAGGTTTACCATTCACTGGCAGCAGCCATCTCTGGGCTGGTGTTTGTAAGTCTCTCCAACTGCTGTGGATCCCACCAACAGTTCAAGATGAAATGGAGGGAAAAGTTAACTGTGCCACCTACCCTTGTCGCTGGTCTCCAGGCTTCTCGGGAGCTCTCTTCTTCCAGTTCTCCTTCACAACCTCCTCCCGTGGAGTCTTCCATAGTCTCAGGTCTGATATATGCTTGTCTGCTTGCTTATTTCTACTACTTTCTTCTAAAATCTATCTTTTTTGCAGAGACACTCTGGCTCATGGTTTTTCTCATCTGCCATCTTGCTCCGTCTCCGATATGCTTACTTTGTGATCATTCAAAACCCACTCTTATCTTTGTATGTTATTCTGCAATTATAACTTTTATTTATTATTATATTTATTTATTTAGAGACAGGGTCTTTCTCTACACATAGGCCGAAGTGCAGCAGCATAATCATGGCTCACTGTAGCTCTGAATTCCGGGGCTCGAGTGATTCTCCCGTTTCAGCCTCCCAAGTAGCTGGGTCTATAAGTGTGAGCCCCTACACCTGGCTAATTCTTATTTGTTTGTAGAGATGGGGTCTCACTATGTTTCCCAGACTGGTTTTGAACCCCTGGCCTCAAGCAATTTCATAATTTTAATTTTTAAAAAAGGCAAAAAACTTAACACTGTAAGGATGAGAGGAAAAGTTAAAGGGAAAAGTTGTGATAGAAACAGAGTCAAGAGAGGCACAAAGGAAGGGACAGAGTAGAGCAACAGGAATAAAAGAAGGGTGGGGTGTTTTAGTGTGAAGCTTTCTCCCCAGCAGTGAAATTGAGGGAGAAGGAGTTATCAATGGCAGTGAAGGGCCCACTGGGGAGACAAATGAAAATGCTTTGTTTCTTACAATTTGGCCCAGGGTTAGAGCTATGCAACACAGGAATCCAAATTAATTCCTGTTTTGTGCGTCTGGTGGATATAAAGAAAGAAGATGAGCAGCAAGCCCAAGCAGGAGCTAACCATAACCAGGCATCTGACATAATAGGTAAGGCTGACTGGACGAGTTTGTAGCTGTGAATCACAGGTTGCCAGGTAAGGGGCTCGGGCACTTCAGCAGGGCCCACCAGGGCAGTCCAGGCAGCCAGCCAGGACTGGAGACAGGAAGGGGAGGGGCCGGCACCTCAAGCAGTGAGCCTCAGCTTAACAAAAGAAAATCCTTAGGAATTGGGAAAATAACAAAAGACAAAAATGGAGGTAATAAGTATTGATGTCAGAGAGGCATGTATAAAGGAAGAGGGAAAAGCATAGGGGAAGGGTTAAAAAAAAAGGGGGGAAATCAGGGAGCCAAGATATTCACAAGAGATGGAGAAAGAAACACAACAAGATGAGGAGAGGTAAAGAGACACCACTGCCAGAGACAGAGGCAGAAGCAGGGGAGATGGGAAAAATGAAGAGAAGGTTCAGAAATAAAATGAGAGTGAAAGAAAAGTAGAATGAGGGTGGTGGTGAGAACAGTGCCAGTGGATGGGCAAAATCTGCCCTCTGTGTGTAAATTTTATCAGCTTTTGTTTTAAGACGGAAACAACCTGCAGATCACATTCCTTGAAGGAAGAGACTAGGGCCTTAAGTTAACTGAACTATCCAGATCTTCTTGGTGCTTTTTTTTTGGGGGGGGAGCAGGGTCTCACTGTATTACCCAGGCTGGAGTACAGTGGTATGATCATGGCTCACTGTCACCCCAAACTCCTATGCTCACTGAGCTCAGATAATTCTCCAACCTCAGACTCCAGAGTAGCTGGGACTACAGGTGTGCAGCATCACATCTGGCTAATTTTTTGATTTTTTTGTAGAGACAAAATGTCTCCCTATGTTGCCCAGGCTGCTCTTGAGGGCCACTGTGCCTGGCCCTTAGTGTCTTATTATGGGATTTCCCGCTGTGTGGACTCCTTGGCCACACCCTGAAACTGTTAATGGGTTTTGCTCTTTTGCACAGTTATCAGCAGCGAGGACTCTGAAGAATCTAATGATGGAGACAAGCCCCCAAGAGTCCCCCTCTCACCACTGGAAAGTGAGCCCAGTGAGGAAGGTGAGGAGAGCAAGGTTTGGGCTGCGGAAATCTGAACTATGAGTTGCTATGTCCTGATGCACTTTATTCTGAGCCTTTTCTGTATAATGGATCCAGTTTATCCTGGAATCTCATTCTCTGCACTTACTTAACTTGACCCATCTGGGAAATGCAAGAAATTATTATAAATTTACTTTTGAGGATTAGGTTTATTAATCAATGAATTCTATTAATAAATATATATACCCATACATTGATTATATAATAGAAATAGGCTAGCAAAGTGATGAGTTTGTTTTTATAACAAACTAGTTACTATGCATATATGGTGTTATATTTATACCATGATTTCTATATAAAACATAAATATTCCTTTATTGGAAGATAATATTGTCATCTGATCACAAACTGTGAATAGTGTCAAAAGAATTCATCCAGATATCTAGTGTTAGCAGAAAGAAAGACTTGAGATAAAGTATTATTCTAAAACCTGAAGTTTTGTTTTTGACCGAGTTCTTCAGCAAGTCATGGCATATTTAGTGATTTTTCAAAAGACCTTTGCAAATAGTATTTTTTTCTTTACAATAACCTGAAAGGGTAACCAGGATAGACAGTGTTGTCCTTGCTTCCAAGATAAGAAAACACAAACACATAAATGTTTCAAGGTCATCTACAAAGACTCATAGAAATTAAAGGAAAGACAAGACTAACATCCTGGATTCTGAGTTTTTCTCTTTGTAAAATGAGAGATAGAAATAATTATCAAAATGTTAACTCTCTCCTATTTGCAGCATGAGTTGTCATATCATTTATAACTAGTTAGTATACAAATTGGTGATTTGTTTTCCATTTTTTACTTTCTAGATCCTGAGAATATCAGAAACATGCCACTTTAGGGAAAACACACTAGGAAAAGACCTAAGAGCAAATACAAATGTTGTCTCATCTTGATGTTACAAAAGAACAATGTGTTGAATACATTAAATTCTAATTGCTCACTGTATCTTTCAAAGTAAAATGAAAATTTGCTTCATTTTTTAGACAGTGCACACTCTAACTTTTATCCTAGTGTAGGAAAACTCCTCTAAAAATGGTCCTCAAATATATCTATGGCTGAACCACAAAAGAAGGTGATTTCTCAGCCTTGTAAATAGTTCAAGGAGAAAAGAAGGTGATTTCTCAGCCTTGTAAATAGTTCAAGGAGGTACCTAGTTGGTGGGGGTACAGGAGGTTCAACACCTGCAAAACACAAGGTCTTCAAAGTCTCCTTGCATAGGAAACAGAGGCAGAGATGAAGGAAATGTGGAATGACAGGAGAAGGGGTGAGAAGTAACAGAAAAGAGAGTGACAGGAAAGCAAAGGTCAGCAAAGCAAAGTTGACCCTTGCCAGTGAATTGTCTCTGCCTGTGGGGATGGGAGTGGAGCATCATTCATCTACAAGGCAGGTAACTTAGAAGCGAAGACCAGCTCAACCTGAGTGCAGCCCAGGACTTGCATGGAATTTCATGCAAGGTGTTCCAAGTTTTTTAATGGGTGAATTTCCTTGGTCACACACTGCGACCCCTAAGGAATCCTATTCTTTTGTGCAGTGATCAATGTCTGTGACTCTTCAAAATCAAGTGAGACAGAGGAGATCCAAGAAGCCACTTGCTCACGACCCAAGATTGCATTAGGTAAGAATATTAGAATTGCAATTCTTGGACTATAGAATATCCAGAGCCCAAATCCAGAGCTCTGTTTTCCTGATGAATTTTATTCTGAATGTTCTCCACACACCTCGATTCTATAACTTCTAGGATAATATTTTTTGCATTTAACCTCACTGGCCCTATTAGGAAATGGAAGGGGTCATGAAGGTGTTAGAAATTGTTCTTTAATTGGATGGGTCCAATCAAATCATATGCTGAAAATGTAGCAAAAATATGTTAGTAAAATGACATAGTTATTTTATTACACACTATCATATTTATTAATGCTACAGAGTTGGAATAATGTACTTAACCTCTACCACCAGCCATTATATTTGATAGACCACTGTCAGCACAGTATTTCTCTACCTGTTGATATTATTAGTCACAAACTTAGAAAGTCTTCAAAGAATAATTTGTGCTGCTATTTAATTATTGATGAGAAGAAAATGACTTCGGATTAACTATACCAAAACCTAGATTATAGTTAAAAAGTTGGTTTACGTTGTGATTTTTCATAAAAGAAAGATATTGTGGTAAAAGAAGACAGAGAGCCAAGGCAAAGCAGAGATGCCCATTGGGGGTGAAATTTTCTCAGCCCGAGGCTCAAGTGACAGTGAGGGCTAAAATACTAACCTTAGGCCACCCGAGTTCAAAAGTCAGGTCCTGGAGGTCTGAGAGTAGGGACTTTATTGCTCCATAATCAGTTTCTCAAGTTTTTCCTAGTTTTTCTTTCTTTCTTTCTTTCTTTCTTTCTTTCTTTCTTTCTTTCTTTCTTTCTTTCTTTCTTTCTTTCTTTCTTTCTTTCTTTCTTTCTTCTTTCTTTCTTTCTTTCTTTCTTCTTTCTTTCTTTCTTTCTTTCTTTCTTTCTTTCTTTCTTTCTTTCTTTCTTTCTTTCTTTCTTTCTTTCTTTCTTTTTAGAATATTCTTCTGTCTTGGTAGCTTTGTCACACACTGAGATCTCCAAGGGACATTTGCTCTTTTCTGTCTTAATAGGACATGACCTTGACTTTTCAGAATCCAGTGAGGATGAGACGCCCCCGAAAATCTGGAGCTCAGCACCGAGAAGTGAATGTGGTCAGAAGGGTAAGGACCTCTCCAGGACAGCAGGAGTCTGACTTGACAGCTCCTGTTTCCTGGCGCATTTTCCTCTGTGCGTACACTAGGAGCCCATTGTCTGCAGCTGCCTCTCATATGGCCATTTTAAAAAATGGGAGGAAAGAAGTCATTATAAATTCAGGCTCAAGAAGGTGGCTGTAGTTGAGCGGCAGTGCCCTTTTTACTACTGACTGCCAGACCACGTAACCCCTAAGTATTGGATTCATGTAGTGATATCTGCTTCTGCCCATCCCCTATTTTGTAGAGAAGAGAAAGTGGGTGGTCTGCTGTTGCTTGATTTTGTTGCAAACCTGTTCAAAACTCAAAAGACCCTGGTCATACTCTGTAACTATTGACAGGAAGAAATCCTTCTGGTTATTACTGTCAAATTCAATCCATGGCTTTTGACAGATGACTCCCAACTTGACATTGGCCAAGTAATGATATTTGAAAATATCTTCTCAGATGAGGTCTCCTTTTATCTTGACAACAACCTAGAAGGCAGGCAAGATAATGGTTGTTTCCACCATTTCACCAATGGGGAAACTCCAGCACACAATGCTTAAGGATTTGTTTTTCTGTTGTTATTGTGCATCACATATAGAAAGTTACAGGAAGAGGCAGGCTGAACTCCTACCAAAATCCATAATCCTTTATTCAAAGTCTTTTAAACCAGAAGTATTTCAGAATTCAAAACTGCTTTTATTATTTTACAAAGACAATGTGATTTATATCCTCTATGTTACAAAACACCTCAATAGAGTCTGGGAAGTGATCCAATTCTCAAATATACTATATTAATGTTTCAGTAGCAAACTATATATATATGTATATATTTTTCATACCAAATATGATAAGATTTTGCATGGACTCATGGTAGCTCAAGTCCAGATGGGGTGCCAAATTGGTTAGCTGCAAACCTATGAAAAAATATTGGTTTTTCAAAACATGTTTGATTTTGCAATTAGAGCTAAAGGATTGTGGATCCCTACTCCATTTGGTAGTGATCCCTTTCCTTTAGATGGGGAGAGACAGAAATGATCATCACAGCATCTTTATAGTCCAACTCTTGTCCACAGTGTAAGTAGTTGTAAGATTGATAATGTTTTAGTTATGGATTACTGGTTTTGTTTTCCTTTCCTTTCTAGATCCTGTGAATACTAGATACACATCTGCTTGGAGGATACTCAAAAGGAAATTGCCACATAGGTCTTCAAGTCTTCAATGCTTCAAGTGTAATACAAGTTTATTCTTCACTTACATGGATAGTATAAAGGAGTTCTTGGGTGGGGGATGGGGTGCTCTACTTCCCACAGTCATTTAGGGTCCAGCTGATGCAGGTTCTGATCTTTAAAGTGTTGCTTCCATGGTTTAGCTGGATTAGAAACTGATGTGGAAGTGGAAGTGTTTGCAAACAATTGGAAAGAGCAAGAAGTGTAAGAAATGGCGACAAAAGGGAGTCCCTGTCTTGGCAAAGTTGTTCCCAGCCCCAGATTTGGGGATGGCTTCTGGACCAACCTTGACCAATAGGTCAGATGAAGCCAAAGGTGGCCCAGTGATAGGATTATTTCTACCCCTCCTACATAAACTTCCTTTTACAATTTTCCTTTTAAAGAATTCTCTGCTGGATTGACTGCTAAGACACAGGCTAAGACTGTTCAGGAATTATATTTCTTTCTGCAGGGATCAGCAATAGTGACACTTCAGAGCTGAGTCATGGAGAAGACACTCTGGACATCCGCAGCTCAGCCCTAAGAAGCGGGTCAGGTAAAGAAGATTAGGATGCCAAGCCTTGGCCTGCAGGATGTTAGAAATCTGAATTAAAAGCTACTGCTTCCAGATGCATTTTATTCAAAGCACTTTGACTCCCTTGTATCCAGTGAATCCTGGGAATTCTTTTTCACCATTAAAAACAGAAGGAGGCAGGAAATTATTATAAACTCATGCTTAAGAGGATGGGGCTCAGTGACTAAGTGTATGTAATTATATATCACTGCTATAGAAGAAATAAATAGAAAAATGATGGCATCTTTTTAATACCTACTGTTGTGCCTATGAATACTAAGATTTTAGATTTTTATAGCAATATGTTGGTTGACATTAATGTCATTTGTAATTGTAAAAGCCTAAAAAGACAACTGTTCCTGCTATGTAATTATAGACAGAAATAAAAACTTCAGATCAACCACTTTCAAACGCTAGTATAGTTTTTGACAGAAACATATTGTGTTATTTCAATGCACTTTGGCAAATAGGTCTAATTTTGTCATCACAAAATCCTTAAGATGTAGGCAGGCTAACTCTTGCTATCCCTGTTTTAAAGTGAGAAAATAGATGTACAAATGTATGAGGGTTAGAAAACAAAAGGAACAATAGGGACTGTGTCTCATGGTGGATAACTGTTGTGTGTAACAGACAGGAGGCTGAGAGCCATGTCATGGGAATCGAAGTCCAAAGGAGAGGCACAAGGAGCCCAGAGTATTCACTATATCTGTGCCTGATACAAGAAAGCTCATTTAACAACTGTGTGTGTGCGTGTGTGTCTGTGTGCGTGTGTATTCATTATATATAACATATACATACATACACATATATATATATAGGTGTATGTATCTTGGCTGAAATATCAATGAGGATATCTCAACCATATTTGTTGGTATCAATGGAGAGGAATAAAAATCACAAAGAGACAGAGAGACCAGGGATGGAATCAGCTAGCTGGTTTACAAAATACCAAGAAAGATAGAGCCAAAAAGGATAACCTTAGAAATAAAGGGGAACAGAGATTAAGAGCATGGCGATGAAAAGAAACAAAAGCAACACAGTAGACAAGAAAATTCAGAGAGAGAGAAGCTCACAGAATGAAAGAGGTAGAGTTAGAAATGTATAGAAGCAGAACAATGGGCAGAAATGAGAAGTGAGGGTGAGAATAGGAGTGGCCAGACAGGAAAAGATAGCAAATCTCTGTTGGATGTGAGGTGTAGTCACTGGAGTAAGTGCATTTCCTTCTCTGCTCATCTGGGCTCTGAAAATAGTTCAGCAGGACCACATTGAGATGGGCTTCCTGGTCCTCTGGCCACTCCCTATACTTTATCATTTCCTTATTTGTCTTCAATGTCCTGTGAATCCAAAGGTCTTCAAATGACTACAGAAAGAGTCAGAAGAGATGCGGCCCATTAACCTGTGATGGAGAAGACAATTATGATTATTAATTATCAACTATCTTTGTTTTCGTATGTGCACAGAGGAGAAGCTCTTTCTTTTTTCCTTACCTCTCCCCTAAACATTTGTAGACTCTAATATACACGCAGACACCACACACAGGACTTGTGCACACAGGCTCTGTTTTCAGCAGGTTTGAGGCAGGCAAAAGATGAAGGACAGTTGGGCTTCTGAGTGAAAGGAGGAGACACTGAGTGGATAATATAAGGAAAATAATGGGAAATAGTAGTCTGGGGTCACCAAATGAAAAGATGTCAGAGTAAGCTTCAAGTTTTTCTACATGGACATAGGATACATTAAATAAATACACCAGTAGTTAAGGAGATTTGTGGGGGAAGAGGGATGATTTTCAAGATACCGCCTAGAAGTTATACCAGAAACATGGAAGTAAAGTCAAGGACTGATTGACAGGCTCGCAATGTAGAAAGCTCATAAGGAACTGGCAGAGGTAATAGAACTGGCCGTGTGGCCAGTGTCAAAAGATCAGGCGTTTGGTGATGATGAAAGTAGTCTGTGAGGTGAACCTGAATACAGGTGGAGAAAACATGGATACCCCTGTGGGAATCATAGTGAGACTCTGTTTTTACAAAAAACAAAAAATAAAAATTATCCAGGCATGGTGTCTGAGCCTGTAGTCACAGGCACCAGGGAGGCTGAGGAGAGAGGACTGCTTGAGCCCAGGAGTAAGGCTGCGGTGAGCTATGATCACACCACTGCACTCCAGCCTGGGCCACAACAGAGCTAGACCCCATCTCAAAAGGAAAAAAAAAAAGAATAAAGAAAACACAGAAAAAAGAATAAAGAGAAAGACTGAAATTATAAAACCAGCCAAAGGATCAAGATAAGATTAACAGAAACAGAGCTGGAAGAGACACTAGCAAGGGAAGTGGTTGTAGAGAGAGGATCACCTCAGTAATAAAACTAGATCCAGAGATAAGAACTGAAAAGTAGGTGGATGAAATACACGCAGAGGGTAATGGAAAGATGAGGCACAAATGAGAACTGTGTTGAGTATAAGTTAATAGTTGAGTTAAAAATGGAAGAGAGAAGGGGCAGCGCTAAAGGGAGACAGGAGAGAGATGGAGAAATTGTGGGGTCTGAGATGATCACGAGACAAAAGCAGCTTTGGCACTAGGCTTGGTTCCCAGCAGCGGTGAGTTTTCAGAGTAAGTTGTCCCCAGGTATCAGAGTGGCCCCTGTAACTCACCCAGATTCCAAAAGGCCTCACCCAGGCATTTGACGCACACGTATAGCTCCAGTCACCACCCACAACCTAATGATTCCTAAACATGTATCTCCAGCCAGCCCTGTCTTCTAAACCCATTCATCCAAGTGGTGGGTGGTCTCTGTCCATGTTCCTGAAGGTCTTAGCCTTCTCCACTTGGATGTCTCTGAAGATCTTCAAACTTCTAACTCAACACAGAAGTGAGCACATCATCTTTTTCCCTAAAACCAGCCTCTGCTTCTCCAGCGTTCTCTATCACTAAAACACACTGTTAATTGACACTTTCTTGGGATTGAAATTCTGTGGTCATTCATGAAAGGACAAACACAGTGAGGAACAAGAAAAGAGAAAGAGATTTCAGAGGTAGATCCATGCTTTAATACAGAAGTGAGTAGTCACTAATGTTTGGATGAGAGAGGGCAACAATGAAACTATTTACAAATCACAATCCAGGAGCAGAGCTACAAAGACCTGAAAAGGAGAAGTGTTCCTGTGTCATGTGTTTTTCAAGTGGAGAGCCAAGAAGTCAAGAAGCAACAGCAGAAAGTAGCCAAACACCTGACATGATGGGTAAGCCTGCCCAAGGGTCTTGGGATGGACACGGCTGAGCGGACACCACAGACACTAGGGAGGGCTGTGACAGGTGATCAGAGTTCAAGGAGAAGATGAAGCAGCCTCTGGATCACCAACAGGAAGTGGGCCCACAGACCCCAAGTGTCAGAAGTTCAAAAGTCTGAAATCAGAGCTCCTGATTCCTGCACAATTGACTGTGAACACACTGTGACAAGGAACAGGCCTGGTCCAGGCCAGAGTCCTGGTCTCTGCCTTTGCTTGGCCTGACCCTTTTGGGAACTGCAGGGAGGCAGGAGATCATTATAGAGTTATATTTAACAGGATGGGCTCTTGTGGTTATGTAGGAATGATGTAGAAATACAGGGGTAAAAATGGTATCTCATTTACTATACTAGCATATCAATTGTAAAGTGTTGGATTTATACAGTGACTTTCACCCTTGTTCATAGAACAAAGAAAGCCACGTTCTTACATTGGTAGATAAGAGTGTCACTTTGTCATAACCTTGGAAAGGCCTAAAAAGCCAAAGGGTCCTGTTAACCTGGCAGGAAAAAGACCTCAGATAACTACCCTTAAACTAAAAATGTGTAGTTTTGAAGGATGTTCTCCACCATGTTATTGGTTTATATGGTGATTTCCTATTAATTTATTTAATCTTCACAAAACATTGAAAACCTGCACAGAAAAACTGTTGTTATCCTTGTTTCATAAATGAGGAAATTGGTGCATGTAATTAAGAGCTTTTTCAAAGTCTTAGAGAACTAAAAGCAGGCATTAGATATCAGTTCAGTAACTGTTTGTTTTCTTTAGAAGGAAGGCAGGAAGTGATACTCAGAACATCATTGTAAACTCAAGTCTTTCACACAGTGTGAATTGTAAGATTTGTAATGTTTATTTACAAATTACAGTTCTCTGACCACCACCTGTCACTTTCTAGATACCACGGATGCTGGAAACAATTCTGCTTTGGAAAAGCACAGTAGAAAAAGAAGTAAGACCAAATAAGAATTTACTTGATTTTTATATTACAAATGACCTATGCTTTAATTCTAACGTTTGCTATCATTATTTTCTATACCTTTCATGAGACAAAAAATAAATGCCTTTTAAAGTAACTTTTTTTTTAAATGCTCATATCTTCATGTTGCTTTTGATTCTGATTTTGAAATATGTTTTTTTGTAAACATTGGTATATATCTTTCCAGAAGTTTTCTAGGCATGTATTAACACATTTTGGAATATAATTTTATTTAAATGAAGTAATTTCATGCATATTTTCATTTTCTTGCTTTTTAAACTAATATATCATACTTAGATGGTAAAGACATTTAACATTTTTAATTGAAATATAAAAAGACTTAGTTCAGTGCTGCTTTACTGTGCATTGTTTTCATTCTTAACATGGTCAGGAATTTTTCATTTGTTCTTGGTCATTCATTTTTCTTCTTCATAGAACTCTTTGTTGTAGAATACAGTCAGTGTTTTCTGTTGTGGTGTTATCTTTTTCTTACTATGCTTCTAAGCATATAGAAATACTTATATGGGCCAGGCACAGTGGCTCATGCCTGGAATCCCAGCACTTAGAGAGGCTAAGATGGGAGGATTGCTTGAGGTTAGGAGTTTCAGACCAGCCTAGCCAACATACGGAGACCCTGTCTCTACAAAAAAAAAATCTAGCAAGAGGCATGTCAATTTTATTTTTTCAAAGAACCAACTTTCTGTTATATTAATCTTCTGTATAGTTTTTTCGTTATGGATTTCGTTTCATTCTGCTCTGATCTTTGTTATTTCTTTTCTTCTGCTGGATTTGGGGTTGGTTTGCTCATCCTTTTCCAGTTCTTTGAGATGATTTATTAGATTGCTGATTTGTGATATTTCTGTCTTTTGGATGTAGGCATTTATGAATATAAATTTTCTGCCAAGGACTGCTTTGGATGTGTCCCACAGATTTTGATAACTTGTGTCTCCTTTATCATTTAGTTCAAAGAATTTTTTCATTTCCATCTTAATCTCCTCCTTAACACAGTAATTGTTCAGCAGAAGGTTGTTTAGTTTCCATGACTTTGTGTAGATATGAGAGTTTCTGTTGGAGTTGATTTCAATTTTTATTTCATTGTAGTCTGAGAAGATGCATGGTATAATTTCCATTTTTTTAAAAATTTGTGGAGACATGCTTTGGACTTAGGATATGGTCAATCTTAGAGAATGTCCCATGAAGCTGATGAGAAAAATGTATAGTCAGTGGTTTTGGGGTAGAATGCTCTATAAATGTCAGTCAGGCTCATTTGTTCTAGAGTCCTCTTTATGCTCATCATTTCTCTGTTTATTTTATGTTTGGAAGCTCTGTCCTGTTGTGTCAGAGGGGTGTTGAAGTCCCTGGCAATTATGGTGCTGCTGTTCATCATTTTGTTTAGTTCAAGTAGGATTTGCATTATGAATCTGGGTGCATCTGAGTTAGGTACATATATATTTATAATTGTTATGTCTTCTTGTTGAATTGCACCCTTACCCATTATATAGTGATCATTTTTGTCTTCTTCATTTTTTTTCTAATATTACATGCTTTCATTTTTTACATTAAAATCTTCGATTCACTTTAAGTTTATGAGGGCTGTCCAGAAAGTGTCCAGCCATCGTTAATACATATTTTGCTTTTTTCCCATTACTTCTAATTATTTCTGTCACTTATATACACATACATTCATATATTTATGTAAATAATGTAAATATTTTCCATTATAAATGACTTTAAATATAGCCATATTATACATAAACATATACATCTAACAATTCTACCGTCTCTATCATTTCTATCTCCATACCTATCTTTATCATCCTGTTTATATACCATTTTATACTTACGTAGGCCTAAGATTTCTTTGCTTTTGAGTTTTTACTGGTTTCTGTGGAAAACTCTCAACCTTACCTGCTTTATTAAAATAGCTGGATTTGGTAAGTGTAAACAGAAATCACATTTATTCCTCCTCCTACATCCTTTCAAACCTGTTCCCTCAATAGTTCTTTTCCTGCCCATGGACAAAGTCTCAGGCAAGCCTCAGAGCTGAGCTAGTCCTTTCTAGCAGTGGTGGTATCTCATTCAGTATTAAAAAGCCTGAGCAGATACAATAGTAAAACTGGAAACTATGCAGGGCAGAAGCTGGGTGAGCCCGGCGTCCTCTCCCATCTGCACTCCCTCCCTAACTCCGGTCAGTATCTGTTGCTTTCAGCTAATCTGGTCTGGGAGGAGGGAGAAGGAAGTGGGGAGGAGCAGGGATGGCCCTCTCGTGATCCGTCCTTGCTGTCTCCCAGATGTGGTGGATGCATGAGCCATGGTCATTTGTGAGCTCTTCAGAGACACCCAGTTTAGAGAGAACCGATCAACTGACGTTCCCCCAGTGCAGGAACAGGCTTTTTGCCACCTCCCTCTGAGGCTCCCAGCACCTGTGAGGTCCACACTCCTGCAAGGTCATCTCTTCCACCCAAGTGACTCTCCTGGACTATCTCTCTAGAAGAGCCAATTGGGCTCTTCCCATCCCCTGGGAGGCCTGTGGGAAGCAATGATGCCTCTTCATGGTATCATTGCCAGTGGGCCTGTAGCTGGCTCCCAACACATTTACACCCCCCCCACCCGCCCGAGACATTTCAGTGTCAAGTCTGTACATGTCTCTGCTTCCCTGAAATTCCTGGAGATGCAGACTAGTTACCTTGAAGCTGAGGTCTTCTCATTTGCCTGGAGGAGAGAGGAGCACTTTGCCCAATTCTATAGCAAGTATGCGATGGCGACTGATAGCATTTGAACAGGAAACCCACCAACAACCACACTACTTCCTGTGGGGTATTTGAGCAGGAAAATTTACAGAGAACAATTATTACAGAAAACCCAGGGCCCTATATTATTATCAGGTATTAAGCCCCAAATCTCCTAGTAAGTCAAGCTTTAGCAAGCTGAACAAGACTACTGGTATACTTTTGATTTGTTTGATGAAACAAACAAAGGCTTTGATGAAAAGTGAATCCAACTGTACCAGAAAAAGACACACAGTGACAGGAAAGAGTCTATTTGCCTAAGATGTCTATGACTGAACAAGTGCAAATTGTGGTAAGGCCATAGAAAGAAAGATAGGGGAAGGGGAGAGAGGGAGAAGGAGAGAGACAGAGAGAAAGAGAGAGAGGAAGAAAGGAAGGATGGATGAGTTTGAACTTCACCTTTACACGTGGCATTCATGAGATCTACCTGCAGGTACTTCACTATCTGTCCACCCACACCTATCACCTGCTAAATCTGAGAGCATAGTGCCCTGAGACAGGGCTTCGTTCAACCCTTCTTTGCTATATCTAACCCTAAAACTTTCTACAACTTGACCCTCTATTTCTACACATTCACTTTTGTCAATATTCTCCTGGTTAGTCTCTTAGATTCTAATTTTTTGAACCCATGTGAATAAGGTGGTTGGTCACTTTCATTATATTTTATAATATTCACTATATTCATTATATTTTCAGCCCTAAAATTTTTTATCCAGGGCTAACAGTATGGCCAGTATCTCATCTGTGTTCGTATCTCCCTGGACAACCCAAATTCATGCATTGTTGTCATTGATTTCTTCCTCTCAATCAAAGGAAATCTGCAATGCTTCACTTAATTTTGTAATTTCTGTAAGCTTCAAACTCTTTATTGGTAATGGGGGTAGTAGAAGTGCCTCTCTTATAAATAAATTAATAGATGTAAAGGTCTTATATTAGTGTGTAGCACATAATAAGCAATTAAGTGTTAGCTCTCATTATTCTCACGGTGTTCCTTGGAATATAAATGAAACTCTGCATTAAATCCTTTTTAAAATTAATATGGTGGTAAATTCTTTGGATTACTGTCATAATAAAAAATAAATAAAAGCTAGGATGAACCCAGTCTAACCATCCAAGGCTTGGTAACTGCAAAGCCATGTGCTATATACTTTTTTATGCATCTTGGGCTCTTGAAAAGTTACAGTTAAATGGAATTCTTGAAAAGCACTGTTATATACAATGTGACATTTTGAAAGCATCTCTTTATATTTTTCTATTTTCCCAGGGAGAAGGAGAGGTAGACCTAGAATCAACTTTTTTCTGAGTTATAGATGCCAAAGGAAAAGATATCAACTAAGAGGTAAAAAGAAAAAAGGATAAACAGTGATAAATACATTTTAAATACATAAACATCTAAATTCTCATGCTTTTTTCTCTGCTTTTAGTAGCAAACATTTTTTACCTAATTTCTGTATATAGTTGTACTTACTATTGAGAAATGTATCAGATTTAGCCGATTTCCAAAATGTGTCAGGGAAAGAAAGATAACACCACAAGCAAGTAACTTGGTGATGAATCTGCCACTAGGCCCCGGGGCCCAAGGGCTCCTTGCAGTGCTGCCTCTGCTGAACAGATAACTTTTGAAGCAGGTGTTGGCATTAAAAAACCAGCATAACTCACAAGTGATGTAGCTGTCGCTGCTCTTGCCCACCACCATGTGGTAATTGTGTGGACTTGGGTCTGCCACTTCACCTCTTCTGCCTCAGTTTACTCATCTGTAAAGTGAAATTAAGTGAGTTAGATTGTCCTCTGAGGCCCATCCCAATTTCCTACCTGGCTTCATGTTCTATGACTCCCCCACAGGACTCTGTAAGGACCATGGTCAGCTCCCTCCCCAGAGAAGAGCAGCTCCCCATCCTCAAGTTCATTTTAAGACCTTCATGTATATTTCTGCTCAGTCATACCCTTAATCCTCCCCCCCCATCTCTACCACGTAGAGGTTCTAAAATGCAAAGCCCATGCTATTTGTTGATGATTCTAGAACTCCACTAAGTTTCTCTTTAAGCCGGGAGACAACTGCTGTGGAGGAGGGTGAAGAAAGCAGACGAGACAGACGCCATCTTCTGCCAGGCTGCCCTGTTGTGATCCTGGCCCTGTTTAGCCAATGCTTGCCTCAAATTTATAGACAAATCTGTTTCTAAAACTCTTCCTCTGGCCACATCACCATACATATATTTGGCTATAAATTCCCCACTAGTATAGTAGAAGCAGCATATTCTACTGCTTCTTTACAGTTGGTGGACAACTCGCTTGGGAATTAGACATCAGATGGTCCTGCTAGAAGGTCTATATCTCTGTTGTGGTTACCTCAGGCAGAGTAACTCTCAACAACACCCAGTCCATCTTCCAGCCACAGGGTCCCCACCAGGCCGTGAGAATCATGCTTCTTCATTGACTCCCTTGCCGGCTCCCAGCTCAGCCCTCTGTCACCACTGACTCCTCTAACCATGACTTCAGCTTGGCAGCACTCGGGGGGTAATTCTGATAGTCTCTGCCTCCCTGACAGCCCCAGAGACAGAGGTCCACCTCCTGCATGGATGTCTTAAATCCTTCTCGCTTGGCTTGAGGGGAGGTGTCTGAGGATTCTCTCCAAAGAAAGGTAGCCTCTCTCATAAGGCCTGGAGGTGGGGAAGGCTGGCTCTGGCAGAACCAGGCTTCCTATCCCCCACCATGTGCTGTGCAGCAGGGCTGAACGAGCAACTCACCCTAGGATACAAGAGTACTGTGCTCCTATTGCATCATCGTTGGACATTGAAGCTTCTACTTATACTCTGAGATAACCTACAGATCAACCAACTAAACATCCTGCTATAATCTTTTCCCCAGAATGATTAGTCCCAATGATTAACAAAATTTTTAAAAAATAAATTTTCATTTTTTCCTGACCCCATTATTATTTCAAAAGGTCAGCATAGAGTTTTAGTGGTTATTGGGTATTAAGACTGGTAGACCCAAGAATGGTTAAATTCTATTTTTTCCACGCATTTTACTTCCTGGAGATAAAATAGCAACAAGGTGCTAGAGCAAGCTGGCTGACAAAGAACCATTGTAAAGCAAAGTTCAGCAGCACTTTATTACGTATGATCTGGTTTTCAGCCCAAACTTCTCCATGTTGAGAACTGGGAGGGAGTAAAATGAGCTTCTGTTTTTTTGCCCTAAAGTTGTTTGCCCTCCATAGGTTTTGACTGAAAGGAGTCTAGCTAACCCTCTAGTCCTGGAAGGGAGATTTAAGCAGAGAGAGTCTGAGAGCAAGAGAATGGGTGCTGGCCAATAATGGCCATCACTGAACAGACCAGGTTACGACCAGGGCCAGGGCTCCAGTTTGACCACCTTATGGGGAAGGAGAAAGCAGGCGGAGCACAGTTGTTCCCTCCTGGGACAGTGGGGAGGAGGAGGGAGGGCAGGAGAGAGTTAGAGCTGGCCAGTTCTCCTGTGTGCACCTACCCCTTCAGCACCGTGAGTGGCAGGAGGGAGGGTCCCACAGAGAGCCACACCTGTGTGGATGACCTTGTAGCCCTGGCAGCCACATCAGCTACTGCACTTGGCCCAATCACATTCTCTGAAGCAGATCAATATAGAGCAATTTTTATTGAGAGACAAGCAAAGAGTGTTAGGAAAGCTTCATTTACCTCCATGAGGACTCCATTTCCCCCACTTTACTTGTTTCCTTTAAATCTTTAGTTCAATAACCAAACTTAAACTTCCTTTATGCAACTTTAGTAATCTCTTTTCTCCACGTATCTCCATAATGTCTTAATAAAATTCCTGAGGGAAATACCTTGTGAGGTAGAATATGCTTGATTTTGAGATGTGATTCCTCTTGGGATGTAAATTATGAATATATGCCTTAGAGTACCATTTTTATTGTGATGAGGTTAAAAAAATCTCTGAGTAATTGGTTTGGCAAAGGCCCAGAAACTAAAATAACATCATCAACCCCAAGGCTTCCTTGTGCTTGACTGAAGGACAGATTCCTTTCCAGCGTACTGTGGTCATAATCTGTTAGAAGGAAAGAGCATTCACTTGGGGTATCGGGAAGAGGTTTTCTCCTGGGTCCTGCACTAGGCAGGATAGAAGCCACAGGCACACTGCGATGGGCACAGGCCTTCAGGAAGAAAGAGCATTCACGTGGTGTCCCTGACATCAACATTCAAACACATTTGAGGGACGCAGATGTAGACATGCATCTGGAATGACACTCAATTTTGGACACACCCAATCAACATATATTACTATAACAGATACTACATTCTTCTGAGAGATTTTTAAAGTCAATCCTTTGTGCTACCTTTAACTCTACATCTCTTAGACCTGGGGCCTTAATTTCTACAAATTCCCTGAAAAATTACAATTAAATGGTGTTTTTGTAAAACCCTACTATTGGTGATGCAATGTCATACACCAAAGATGTTGGTGTTATTTTTCTACTTTCTCAGAGAGAGAAACTGCCATCCCCGGACCTTTGAGGAGAAGAAAAAGCAGAAGAGGCAGAAAAAGAGATAAAAAGTAGTGCTCAGAACATTTTCATAGTGAACCATCTAGATTTTTATTTTATATTCTGTGCTCTGAGTGAAAAATCAGTTTTCTTAATTGGCTTATGGGCAGCCAGTACAGGAGCCTCCTTGGTCACCACGAGGTCTGCCTTGAGACCTTGTATACTGCTTTTTATCTCGGTCTCTTTGCCAAGGGAAATTTTCAATGCCTTTAGTTAATTTGTATCTTTGAGGGCCCTGTTTATATAACCAGTTTGTATTGTTTTTTTTATCTCTGAGCATCAATTTCCCCACATGTGTGAGGATTAGCGTATATTTGACAGATTTGTCTCTATGGATGAAGTAAGTTAATAGAGGCAAAGGTCTAAGGATAGTCCCTGGCACACAATAGGCACTCAAGACACGTTCAACTTCATTCTTGTTCTCACCCTATTGCTTGGGAAGCACATAAAACATTGTTTCAAATTTATTTGGGCTGATTTAGAGATATTAATAGAAAAATATGGAATAAATCTCAGTTAAGTATGATTTTTGTAACAAAGTCTAGGCCAGGAGTAAGCACACTATGGTCTACAGGGCAAAAGCAACCTACTGGCTCTTTGTAAATAGACATGTATTGAGACACAGCCACATCCTTCCATTTACATGTTGTCTATGGATGATTTAATGACACAGCTGCAGAATTGAGTAGTCACAACATAAATTGTGGACCACAAAACTTTTAATATTGTCCGTGTGGCCCTCTTGACTTGTGACCTAGGCATTTGATTTTTTTTTAAGTACTGGACAGGCTCCTGAAAAGTTACATTTGAATAGTGTCTTTGTTAAACACTACTATCTGTGATGCAATGTTGTAAACAAAAGACATTTATATTGTTTTTCAACTTTCTCAGGGAGAAAAAGAGCCAACCCAGGACCTTTGAAAAGAAGAAGAGGTAAAAAGAAGTGATCCATACACTTTTAATAATTAACCGTCTAGATATATATTTTATACTCTGTGCTCTGAGTGATAAATCACTTTTCTTAACTGGCTTATGGGGAGCTGGCACCAGAGCCTCAACCTTGGCCACAAGTTCATTTTAAGACCTTCAATTCCTGCTTCAGCAGAACCATGTCCCTGCGCCCCACTCATGGGTGTGTGCGGCTCCCTGAGCAATGAGAAATTTCTTTTTTATTGATTCATATATACGAAATAGCTGTACATATTTTGGGGGTACATGTGATCATTGTATACTTTCATATAATTGAACCAGGGTAATTGCGATATCCCTCACTTTAAATATTTACCTTTTCGTTATACTAAGAACATTCGAATTCGTGTCTTCTAGGTATTTTGAAATACACAATTGATCCATGTTAACTGTAGGCCCCCAACTAATCTAACAAAGGCCAGTTCTTATGTCTTCTACCTAACTGTAGATTTGTATGTTAATCAACCTCTGCTCACCCTCCTACCCCTGCAGTGAGCAGTGTCTTCTAGAACCTCAGTCCTGAGCTTCCCTTTCAGCCACAGGGAAAGCTCAGGTGAGGGACAGTGAACCAAAGCAGATGGCCAAGGCCAAGGGGGAGACAGACACCAGCCTGTTTGGTGCCTATGTGTTGTCCTGCTGCCATCCTGCTCTCTGTTCCCCCCGGTGATGCCTCTGATAGGGAGACAAGACTAAAATTTGAGGAGTTTATCTCCATCTCCATAAATTCAAAGCAATAGTAGGGCTGGAAATTTCCCTTCAAATCACCAGGGGAAAAGTCACTGTGGGAGCAGTGGATGTGGACACCAAGCTTGACAGCTTAGATCCTGCTGCTCAGGCTCTTGGGTGGAATTTTGGGGGGTGGAGCAGAGGATGACATTATCTACAGGTATCTAATCTGTCATGAAAGAAAGACCTTGAAGTGTAACCAATTCCTGGGGGAAATCCCTGCAATTGTTTTAAATTATAAAAGAAGGATCTGATGGGGGTGGGAGAGATGCTGCCCAGTTGTAGAGGAAGATGGAAGGAAAAAATTCCTTCCCTGCAGTTTCAAGGTTTCCCAGAGATGAAAGTATGAATTTTCTACTTCCTGAACTTCCTGTGACCTGTGGTGACATAAAGGGGATTCTGTATAAGGAGAAACTGAAACAAGGTGAGTTTCCTGGCCTTGTAGGATTTTCAACTGGAAAATTTCCACACAAATAGCACATTGTTGGGGAGTTGATATCTGCTTTGGGGGACCCTAAGACCAGCCCCGGGTCTGATTTGCTAGGAGCTCTCCTAGGACTTGGTAGAAAGTCACACTCACAGGTCAGGTCTGTAAGACTGAAAGGACACAAAGCAAAGTCAACAAAGAGAAAAGGCACGTGGGGTGAGGTCCAGAGGAATCCAAGAGCCAGCTTCCAAGAGTCCTCTCTGGGTGGAGTCTCACAGGGCTCACTGCTTGCAGGTCAGAGAACTATACGCACATGGCAGGGAGTTCCCTCCTTCCCTGGCCTTTCAGCCTGAGTGTGGGGCCCCTGAAGACTGAGGGGACAATTCAGACTTTCCTGCTACTGATCCTGAACCCAAAGTGGTGGCTCCAGATCCAGTGTGGGAGGAGGCCAAGTGTAGGTGTTTTCACAGTCGGGGGCTCAGCTTGTCTTGGTCTTCCAGGAACCTCAGAGAGGTGTATAAAGAGTGAGACTGGAAGGTGGTTCACTCTCAGGGAATTTGAAGTTGAAGGAGACCATGGACCATCCAAGAACTGGAAGCTAAGCATACGCTGTGGTGGATATACCCTGAAACACCTGATAGAGGTATTTTAGTGACAAATGGTTTAAATCGAGGATTTGGCTGTCACACCAAGCTTTGCAGAAGTTCTCAGTGTCCAGAAAACCATCATGACTCCCCTTGCCCAGCTCCCAATGCATATGTTGTTACTATTAATAACATTGCCCCAGGTGTTATACTACAGCTTACTCCTCTAAGCACAGTAACTCTTCTCCTTCTGAATATAGGACAGTAAAATGTGGCCTTGACTCTACCATGAATAAACTTCAATTTGGTGCCATGAAAGTAACTAAAATTGGGTAGAGGATTCTTAAACTTTGGGGGCTGATTTCAAAAGTAATGTAGTAGAATTATATATATGAAAATAATATATCAGGATAGATCGTTCCTAGATCACAGAAATTTTTTTTTCTTTTTCTTTTTTATTTCAGCATATTACAGGGTTACAAATGTTTAGGTTACATATATTGCCTTTGTGCCCCCCCCCTCCCCGAGTCAGAGCTTCAAGCATGTCCATCCTCCAGATGGTGCGTACTCTACCCATTAAGAGTGAATATACCCATCCCCTCATCCCCCCTCCCACCTGCCCGACACCCAACCAGTATTACTACTATATGTGTACACAGGTGTTGATCAGTTAATACCAATATGATGGTGAGTACATGTGGTGCTTGTTTTTCTATTCTTGTGATACTTAGTAGAATGGGCTCCAGCTCCATCCAGGATATATAAGAGATGCTAGATCACTATTTTTTGTGTGTGTGTGTCAGAATATTTTGACAATGTTTCTTTTCATAAACCATCTCTAATTTGTTCTTGAAAGAAAATACAAATAAATTGCATTGTGAACTAATTGCTGTGCTCCTCATATCTATCCCCTGATGTGGACAAAGCAGGGACAGGCAGTCTGCTGCAGATGAACCTGTGTCTTTTGACTCTGGATACAGTGATCTTTCAGTTGGACACCTCAGATAGCCCTTTCCTGTGTCACTCTAACAATAAAGAAAAGGTCTCTATAAATATTTATAAGCTACATCTAAAGCCATGAAAAGTACAAGGTATGAGCCCCTACCTAGGAAGTGGGCTGTGCTTTAATAACCATAGGACTGCACAGTATGAATGCTCTAAAGAGAGACACCCACAGGAAGAGATGACCAGGAAGGAATGTCGTTTCTGGCTTTGACATTGTGGACAGTTTCTTGAAATGATTTGTGCTGAGCTGGGACTTAAAAGTAGAACAGTTCAGATAAGGAAAAATGTAGAACAGGGCATTCTACATACATAAAAAAGGATGGCATGAAAGTTTGCTCCACAAAGTGTCAATAAGTTGTGGGTAATGAGGTGTGATATGTTCACTGTACTGATTGTAGATATCATGAGGCCAGAGGAAGGAGTCTAAACATTCCTTTAATCACTGGGTAATCATGGAAAATAATTTCCATGAAGATACTTTGAATTTGAGTTGACAGTGGGACATCCACGTTGAAATATCTGGAAGGCAGTCAGAGATATCAAGTCAACAAAACTAAAACAAGAATCCATCATATCATTGATGTCTTTTTTCCTTCAGAATGGACATCTACCAAACACACCAAGAACAAGAAAAAAGGTGATTATCATGTGTCTTTCTGCTGATGTCTCATCTGTCATATTGTTTTGTTTCAACATATCAAGGGGGTACAAATACTTTTGTTACATGTGTGCTATTGTAATGCTTGAGTCAGGGCTATAAATGTGCCCATCACCCAAATAGTGTTCACTGTACCTGTTAGGTAGGTTTTTGCCCCTCTCCTCTTCCTGCATTCTCCCTGATTGATTTCCAATGATTTTTACTTCCTTCTGTGTACATATGTGCCTATCTATTAGTTCCAATTTATTAGAGAGTATATGTGGTGTTTGTTTTTCCATTTTTGAGATACTTAGGATAATGGTCTCCAATTCCTTCCAAATTGCTGTGATAGGCATTAATTAATCCTCTTTTTATGGCTGAATAGTACTCCATGATATAAATATACCACATTTTGTTAATCCACTCATAAACTGCTGGGCCCTTAAATTGATTCCAGATTTTTGCTATTGTGAATTGTGCTGCAATAAACATTCATTGTCTTTTTGATAACATGACTTCTATTCCTTTGGGTAGATACCCAGTAGTGGGATTGCTGGGTTGAATGGTAAGTCTACTTTTAGTTCTTTGATAAATCCCCACACTGTTTTCCATAGAGGTTGTACTAATTTGCAGTCCCACCAACAGTGTATAAGCATTACTTTCTCTCTGCATCCATGCCAGCATTCATTCTTTTTGGACTTTTAATAAAAGGTATTCTAACAGGAGTCAGGTGATATCTCACTGTGGTTTTAATTTGCATTTCCCTGATGATTAGTGACATTGAGCATTTTTTCATGTTTACTGGACATTCATCTATCTTCTTTTGATAACTTTCTGTTCATATATTTTGCCTACATTTTAATGGGGTTGTTGGTTTTTCCTTGCTGATTTGAGTTCTTTGTAGATTCTGGATATTAGCCTTTTATTGGATATGTAGTTTGTGAATATTTTCTCATGTTGTGGAGGTCGCCTATTTGCTTTGTTGATTATTTCCTTACCTGTACAGAAGATTTTAAAATTTAATCGAGTCCAATTTATTTATTTTTGTTGTTGCTATAATTGCCATTGAGGTCTTAGTCATAAATTCTTTACCTAGGCTGATATCTAGAAGAGTTTTCTGTACCTTGTCTTCTAGAATTCTTATGGATTCATGCCTTATATTTAAGTCTTTTATCCATCTTAAATTAATTTCTGAGGGTGTTGAGAGATAGGGGTCCTGTTCCAATCTTCTGCATGGGGCTATTCAATTTCCCCAGCACTATTTATTGAATAGGGCTTCTTTTCCCCAGTGTATGTTGTTGACTGCTTTGTCAAAGATCAGTTGGCTGTAGATAGATGGTTTTATTTCTGAGTTCTCTATTGTGTTCCATTGGTCTGTATTTCTATTTTTGCACCAATACAATGCTGCTTTGGTTACTGTGGCCTTGTAGAGTTTAAAGTCTGGTAATAGGATGCCTCCAGATATGTTCTGTTTGCTTAAGGTTGCTTTCACTATTTGGGCTCTTTTCTGGTTTTAAACAAGACATAGAATTATTTTTATAGATGTGTGAAATATGACATTGGTATTTTAATGGGGATTGCATTGAATCTATAAATTACTTTGGGTAATTTGGACATTTTTAACAATGTTGATTCTACTGATTAATGAGCATGGCATGCTTTTCCATTTGTGTATGTCATCTGCAATTCCTTTCCTCAGTGTTTTGTAGTTCTCCTTGTAGACATCTTTCATCTTGTTGGTTAAGTATATTCCTAGGTATTTTATTTGCTTTGTAGCTATTGTGAATGGTATTGAGACTTTGATTTGACTCTCAGCTTTACTGTCATTAGTATATAGAAAAGCTACTAATTTGTGGTCTGGCGTGGTGGCTCACACCTGTAATCCTAGCACTCTGTGAGGCTGAGGCAGGAGGATCGTTCAAGGTCAGGAGTTTGAGAGCATCCTAAGCAAGAGCTAGACCCTGTCTCTACTAAAAATAGAAAGAAATTAGCTGGACAACTAAAAATATATAGAAACAATTAGCTGGGCATGGAGGTGCATGCCTGTAGTCCCAGCTACTTGGGAGGCTGAGGCAGAAGAATTGCTTGAGCCCAGGAGTTTGAGGTTGCTGTGAGCTAGGCTGATGCCATGGCACTCTAGCCAAGTCAACAGAGTGAGACTCTGTCTCAAAAAAAAAAAAAAAGAATTATGAGCTTTAGCTTTTTTGGGTGATTTTATACTGGTGGGTATCAGTAGTGCTGATTTATATAGAGTGTCATTCTGATTATTTTCTCCAGGGAAGGTCTAGTCATGACAAATGCTCTCAGTATTTGCTTGTCTTCAAAAGATTTAATCTCTCCATCAATTGTGAAACTTAATTTTGCAGAATACAAAATTTTAGGCTGGCATTTGTTTTGTTTAAGAAGATTGACGATAAGGCCCCATTACCTTCTTGCTTGTAAGATTTCTGCTGAGAAGTTTGTAGCTAGCCTGATGAGTTTTCCTTTTGTCAGTTATTTGTTGCTTTTGTCTTGCTGCTTTTAGAATTTTCTCCTTCTTTTCAACTTTGGCCAGGTTGATTACTATGTGTCAGAGATGTTACATTTGCTATGAATCCTCCTGGTGTTCAATGACCATCTTGTATCTGGATGTCTGGATCTCTGTCAATTACCAGGGAAGTTTTTTGCTCAATAATTCCCTTGAAAACAAAATAATTGCCTTGAATAGATTGTCCATGATTTTAGCTGTTTCTTCTCCCTCAGGGATACCTATGTTTCATATGTTATTTCACTTCACATAGTTCCATGTCTCTCTGAGTCATTGCTTCAACCTTTTTCATTCTCTTCTTTGCCCTTTATGTGACCGGATTAGCTTGAAAACCTTTTCTTAAAGCTCTGAGATTCGTTTTTACCCTTGGTTTAGTCTGTTGCTGAATCTTTCTTCTGTGTTTTGAAATACTCTAAATGACTTTCATTTCTTTATGGTCTATTATATTCTTTCTTAGGTTGTCTAGCTCTTTAGAAACTTTTTCATTGATTTTTTGAAATATTTTTTGGCTTCTTTTTATTGGTTTTCTACTTTCTCATTCATTCTGTTCATCTTATTTTCCATCCAGATTCTTAATTTCATTTCTGTCATTTCAGCAATTTCTTTGTGGTTGATTTTGCTACCATAGCTCCATTGTGATCCCTTGAGGGTGTTAAACTCATTTTTTTTTTTTTAATGTAACCAGGGTTCTTTTGATGGTTTCTGCTTATCTGATACCTCTAAGGCTAATAGGTTTGCAGGGTATCTGTTTTTTGCTGGGAGCTCTTCTGCTTAATTAGAACAAGGGGAGATCCCTAGATGGTACTTTTTCCTACTGTGGAATGTTGGCACAGCAGGGAGTGGCATGTGCATTAAAAGCCTATAATTAAGCTGTTCTTATTTGTCCTGTTCACCAGTGATTGTCACTGTTCAAGCCTGGGTTGGCCTTTGTAGTGGGTGTTGAGTTGTTCTCCAGATAGTTGTATGAAGTTTCAGTTAGGAGCTGGGTGAGATCCTCTCCATCAAGGCTTACATTGTGAGAATTGCTCTGCCTTGGGTCTCCCCACAGATGTGACAGTGACAGCTGGGTGAGGCTTTCATGGCATTGGTCATGGGCTCCTGGGCTGTGGACATTTGTTCAAACCGGATCTTGGTATAATGATGGCTTGTGGTTGGGAGATCTCTAGTGGGACATTGGACGTTGGAGCAGTTACACCAGCACTGCAACAGTGGTGGACACTTAGGGGTGGGGTCTTGCGGTCCAGGTGCAGTCCTAGTATCTCAGGGCCTGACAGCAGTTCTGGAGGCATGTGGGCAGAGTCTCAGGCTCTATCTTGAGAGCCTCAGAGCTGGACCTGTGAGGAGCCAGAAGCTGAGCTTCTGTGTAGGGCCTCAGAGCCAGAAGTAGGGCCATGAGGCCAGTGAGTTTTTCTGACCTCGAGGGTGGAGGCAGGGCTCAGCAGACAGCAGGCCATTCCACGGGCTTGGGGACTAAAGATGCCAAGTCAAGTGGATGGGTGTCAGTTCTAGTGGCCCAGGGACTGAGGAGTTCTCCCTGCCTGTCCAGGTCTGACTGAAACTGTCACCCAAAGCTTCCCAGATTGGAGCTTGTAGTGTCCCAGTCAACTCCTCCACTCAGATCCCACTGTACTGGTGGGGAGAGGTGCTTGGTTTCCAGTCATAGTGTATGGCTCAGAAGATCCTCCACTTAAGCCACACCTACCCCAGCCCAGTAGGGGTGATGCGAAGGCTACTGCTACAAAGCTGAGTCCTGTGCCAATGTGACTCCATGAACCTGAGAGCAAAGGATGGCATCAGCTGCAGAAACCTGGGATTGGCTGCCACCAGATCCTTGCTGCATCTGTTGTCCAGTGCAATGACTCTGCTCAGAGATGAGTTCTCAGACCCATTCCCTTTGCAGCTTCTCTGGTGGGATGATGCTTTCTAATTTTACAGCAAAATGACTGAGGGCCCCTCAATGTGGAGGACCAATAGAGTTTCTCTAGCTCAGTCTGTCTGCCTGGATTCACAAAGTCCCACCTTAGGTCTGAGAGCCAGGGAACAGAACTTGCTTGGGCCACAGTGTCACTGACACAGAATTTAGTGCTTTTTAATTCACTAGTTAGATATATTGGCCCACAAAGCAGATATGAAACAAAGAGGGGGCTGTGGCATGAATCCCTTAAAAATGAAGAAATTTACTCAAAGGTGTGCTTAATGAAAAAATCACATTCAGGCTGGGTGTGGTGGCTCACACGTGTAATGCTAGCTCTCTGGGAGGCCGAGGTGGGTGGATTGCTTGAGGTCAGGAGTTCGAAATTACCCTGAGCAAGAGCGAGACCCGTCTCTACTATAAATAGAAAGAAATTAATTTGCCAACTAATAGATATAGAAAAAAAATTAGCCAGGCATGGTGGCACATGCCTGTAGTCCCAGCTACTTGGGAGGCTGAGGCAGGAGGATTGCTTGAGCCCAGGAGTTTGAGGTTGCTGTGAGCTAGGCTGTTGCCACGGCACTCACTCTAGCCTGGGCAACAAAGTGAGACTCTGTCTCAAAAAAAAATCACATTCAGTATTGTCATTCAATCTCTCTCTCATTTCAGCAGAGAATACTGAAGTCTCACAACAATACCTTACGTGACCCTTGTGTAAGTATCAATTCCCAACTATGACCCCAGAGTAGTCCAGGCCTTTCTCCAGGCACATGATCTGTGTCATTTCTGCTTTTCTCTGAAGCATGCTCACTCTCAGTTGGAGCATGTCACTGTGCGTGATGAGCAAAGCATAGCAAGTGGATCACCTAAGCCAGAAGGATGGGTCTGGGGTTGGTGTCTCAGTAGAAAGCATCCTTTCCATTTGTTTCCATGGAAACCTTCCCATTGTCTCATTTCCCCTAGATAATGAGAATTGGAGGCTGAGCTCTAGACCACTGTGGTCTCTAGAGGTGAAGTGTGAAGTGATAATGGGCAGAGCTGGCCTGCTAACCAGGGGCAGGAGCAAATGTGAGAGGACAGCAGCATTTTCAAGAAGTCAATGGGGATGGGAAGGAAAATCCCAAAGATCCACTCAAAGGTGCAGACTCAAGACTTAAGCATCAGTCAGAAGGAACAGGCCAGGCCATGCTGGAGAGTTCAAGGTGTGGGCCCTGTCATTAGTCCTGCAAAGAAATACACGTGGGTCCTTCATGGAACTCCTGTGGCCAGTCTCAAGGGAGCCATTGGGTGCTGAGCTGGTTAGGACTGAAACCATCACCACTTAGGAAACCTTGAGTCATTTTTACTCCAACTGCTTGACTGGTGCTTGATCATGTACAAACCTTGTGATCCCATGGATCCCTTCCTTTTTCTGCTTGTCAAAAATCAAAGATAACTCCACTTTCTAGACAAAATCATACTTTCATCCCTTTCATTGCCATAATATGGACATTTTAGGCAGAGTCATCTTTTTGCACAACTTCAGGAGGTGCTTCTTGCTATAAGAAGGTGACACCATTCGACTAATACAGGACACCAACTGAGAGAAGATAGAAAAGGGGTTTCCATACCCTCATGTTTTCCAGTAAATGCACTTCCCTAGCTAGATCTGGACCCATTCACACTGCTTTTGTTCCTCTGTATGAGATCTATGAGCTAGACCCCTTCAGTAGTCAAACAGCTCTCATCTCTGGGGTCTGCATTGAAGGCTACTTCTCACAGCCTACAGCCACACTCTCTGTGACAAGGGAAAGGCAACTCTTCCAGCAAGGATGTCTGTCCTTACCTCTTCTCATCATCTTTCTTGTGAAAAACTTCTAGGCTGATATTCTCTCTAGTTATGACCTCCCAGGCCTCGCTCAGGAGAAATCCCTTTAGCAAGGATTTCTTGACTGTACATTGCATTCAACTGAGGATCCCACCCTAAAGACTCTTATCTTATTGGTCTGAGGTGCCATCTGAGAATCGGTGTTTTCAAAGCTTCCTTGGTGGTTTTTAAGCACAGTCCACATTGTCAATCACTGTGGACTGGTGCCATTCAATCTACAGGGTCCATCAGAAAGACCTGGAGGGCTTGGTAGTCCATAGCTGCCTGGGCCCCACCCCAGGCCCCCGACTTAGTGCGGAGTGTTCCTGGAAGGAAGGGGAGCTTATGGTGCTCCCTGTCACCTGCCTGCTGCCTCACCACCCACCAGAGTCCCAACCACCCTTTCCCGGTGGGCCAGTCCCCACGTTCATGCATCACTTGGTACTTAGATTGTCACAGGAGGATGTGAGTGCCTCCTACCAGCCTGTGGTGTAGACAGAATAGTTCATTTAGGTGCAGAGCTGCTGCCCATTAAACAAAATGTTTCCCCACCACACAGCTCCCCTCAAACTGCTCTCTTTCTGTGCAGGAGCCAGTGCCTGTCCTTCTGGACATTTCCCCAGCAAGACAAATGGCCCTAATACATAGAAGGTGTAGTGTGTAAAGGTCCTCATGTTATAGCTACAGATTACCATAAAAAAGGAAGGGGGATGTGACTTTGCTTGTCCACCTGTGAGCTCTTTCCTTGAACAATTCTTATTTGGGCCTGCAGATTCTATTGGTTTGATACCTGTCAGGTACTCCACAATACTTACATACAAATACAGATGAATTTTTAATTTCACTATATGAGATTAAATCTGGCTAAAGGTCATACATATAGAGACTGGTAAGAAAACAAGTATCAGTACATTTTCTAGGCCCCTCCATCTTTCTTATATAGAACCTCGTTACCAGCTCTTTTATGGGCCCACAAAATGAGAATAGAGCCTCAATCTTCAGCCCTGGTAGGTTGATGTTACCACCCTCCTTTGCTGTCAGATATGGCACCTCCACCCATTACGTGTCAGGTTAGCTAAGGCAGGTTAGCTGGGGCAGGGGGGACCTTCCCTTGAGACTCCCAGAGCTGAAGAGCTCTGTGCTCCCTAGTCATCTGCACCCATGGTACTTCCACCCCCGAAACGCTGCCACAGAGTCCCAGAGCCCTCTAGGCACAGAACCCACAGACCAGGAACTCCTCCACTGGCTCTTTCTTCAACTCGTGGGGAGGTAATGGCAGGAATACAGGATTCAGTGATAGCTCAGAACTTATTCCATCCTATTAAATTCTCAGTAAACCACTCTTTGGTGAGTTAATTTACATAATGTAATGTAGACAGCTAGAAAAGACACTGTATTCCTGGGCCAGGTTTTGCTAGCCAAATAAGAAATTTCCCAGATTACCTTTAATTCATTCTTTTTGTTGGTGCTAGCCATTCTTTGTCAAAGTCTCTATTTTCATAAAGAAAACTTTTCTGGTTTAACACACGGCCACTATCTCCTCAACTTTGCAGATCAGAATGCCTTCTTCTGAAATCCCCACTCAATGCTTTTCTTTCATATGTTGAAGAGAGAAATTTTTAAGGGTCACCTTGGTAGATGAAAAGGTCACATGTTCCAGAGTCCCAGGGTCTCGCTGATCCCAGTGCTGTCTACATCATCTCCCTTCCTAGCCAGAAAACTCGAATATTTGTGTGGTGTGCAAAACATGGGGAAAGCTGTTCTGCTGTGACACCTGTCCAAGATCCTTTCATGAGAACTGCCACATCCCACCTGTGGAGACTGAGAGGTAAGACACACACCCAGCCCTCAGCTCTTCCTTCAAGGTGTAATAGCAAGAGGTGTCACCACCACCTCCCCTAGGTGGTTCCCAGCCCTGCACTCTGATGGGGTGAGGCCAGCATACACTGGGTGCTGGTTTAAAGCACATGCCCTGCTGTGGGAACATCACAAAGTTGATAAAGCTGGTGATAAAATCAACCTTCAGCAGACCAACCCAGTGGTCTATCGAGGCAACTGACTCTGGTCCACAGCGCACACGAGAAGAATGTGAATGTGAAGTCCGGGGTAGGAGTGCCCCGCTGCACGTCCTATGCTGTGTGTTTGGGTGGAGGTGATGATGTGCAGGATGCCAAAGAGATTGGAAAGGTATGTGGGTGGTGTTGTGGGCAGAATTGCTGTGGTCAGGAGGATGATCTCTACTGGGAATGTGTCTGTCCCTCTGAGAACAGAGCATTGTCCTTCCATAATGGAAGAGGCTAATGTGATCCACCTGCTCCCAGGATCTGAGTAAACCTCTGCTTTTGGCCAGCTGGGCAATCTGCAGAGGCCGAACACAGATCAGCTTTTTAGTTGAGCGCATTTATAGCTACCCATGTCTATACCATGAGCACTCTGCAAGGGCTCCTTGAGCTAGCACTGGGTGGCCAAGGAGACGCTGATATCACTAGGATAGGTGTTGTGTTCACCTGATTATTGAGAGCCTCCCAGCACAGAGAACTTGGTAGATAATGTTGGAAATGAATTTGGGGCAAATGGTAGATATCTGACATCCTGTCAGTAGATTTCCTTTTCAAGTTTTTGTAGCACAGAATCTAGGTATAGATATGGCAGTGCCAGAGGAGAGGATGCCTATAGCTGTGCCCTGTGCCTTCTTAGCAAAGTTGAGAGACAAGAGCTGGTCTCCTGATTTTTACTATGGTCTGGTTGACTCATTGAAGCCCAAGATATCAGTGCTTAAGGTATCAATTTCCAAAACTCTGGCAAGCAGGGCTCATTGTTAAGCTCCCAGTGGCTCAGATGGGGCCCCCAAATTTTGAGGTGAATGAGAGTCCATCACTTGCTGGGGCACATTACTCCACAGACTGTCACCCCTGCCACCACTACTGAGGGATGGACATGCCTTTGGCTGTCAAGCAAAATGGTGCTCTAGTACTGAGGACTCCAGGAGAGAAGTTGGATACAAGGTGGAAACCACCAGTCATTTTGGAGGAGTGGACTTTAGTAATCATAGGAATGGTGGCTGAGAAATACAATCTGTCCATGCTCCCTTTACGCCCAACCTCTCAGGGACCCATGGAGTTGCATCTTCTGCAAGATAAAGGTTATCCAGGGAAGGTGCCCAGAAAGCCAACCACATCGCCAGGAATCTGAGGTTCTGAGGATGCCGATGCTGCCCGAGGAACAGTTGGTGAGTTGAAATATGAACCTGAAGCCTCCTCACTTCTGATCCCCTGAGAGAGGCACAGTCTCACAGAGGACTTGAGGAATGGAGCCCAGAGGCAAACTTCTGGCCTAAAGTGTGCTTTGATCAATGACCTAACACTAAAATTTGTATTCCAAAGAAAATTCCCAATCTAAAGAAAATCCTTAGTACATGTTTTTTTTTAAAGAGTCCCCAGGTTTGGAGTCCCATGTTCTCTCTGGGCATGCGTGTGAGCTCTTTCTCCCCAAGCTGCATTTCACTCAAAATCTCCTCCATCTTTTGCAGAAATGTGAGTTTCTCCTCTTGAAGGTGTATTGTGATTCAAAAAGCCTCTTTTTTGCCTCAAAACCATATTATGTAAGTAACAGAAAAAAAAAAAAAACGTTAAAACTTTGTGAAATCTGTGATCTGAATCCCATGGTCCAACTGGCCATTATGTTTGCCCTGTTGATGGGTTTTTAGGTTGGGCGGCCACAACAAATTCCCATAGACTGGGTGGCTTGAAGAGCAGAAATTTGTTTCTCACAGTTCTGGGGGCTGGACATCTAAGACACCAGGGTGTCACCATGGGCAGGCCCTGGAGAGGGCCGTTGTCCATGTTGCAGGGGCTGCCTGCTCGCTGTGTTCCCACGTGGCTGACAGTTAGGGAGAGAGCTCTCTGGCATCTCTTTTATAAGGGTCCTACTCCTATTCATCACAACTCCACGCTCAGAACCTAATCACCTCCCCAAATCCCAACCTCCTAATACCATCACACTGGGAGTTGGGATTTCACTATAAGAACAGGGGCACCAACCTTCAGTCCCTAGTAAGGGGAGTCTGCCAAAGGCAGACTTGAAAGCAGGCTGACAGCCTTATTGGGCCCTTTTCTCAACAGAGTAGAGAAGGGTCTGGAGGCCCACAGAGGTCCATGTGGTTGGACAAAGTCAAGAAAACACTGGCTGAGAAGATGTACCTTCAAGTGAAGGAGTTTGTGAGGGACGTGCGCCTCATCTTTCAGAACCACAAGGTATTTTATAGGGTAAGTGTCTCTTCCTACTTCCCATATTCCTTCAATTAAGTCACTTTGAAGTCACTTTACCTTTCATCTTCTTGTATCAGGGAAACGTTACAATCGCCCTCCTCACGTGGCCAGCCCACACGAGCACAAATACTGGAGGTGCTCTAAAAACCTTGTGGTGCATGTGAGAAAAATGACAACAAGCCAGAAGGTGTTGTCAGGCTTAAATAATAACATTCATAAAACATGATTAAGCACAGAGTTTATTGAAGCCCAAAGCTGGGAACAGCCATCCGGTAAACACGAGCTCCAAAGAAATACAGTCAGTGCTCCAAAGTCAAAGGTTAAGGTCTTTGTTATATAGAACACAAACAAAGAAATTTAGTAGGATTATAGCATTTTCTACACAAGGCTGGTTTAGGAATTACACCAATTTAATTAGTTACAATTTGTTTTCATTTCCTTTCTTATCTAGGAGTGTATTTAATATTCTATCTTAGACAACAGGATAGTCATGAAACCCTTGTGTGAGAGAAGTTAAGGGAAGCAAACTTATAATGGAGATGAATAGTGAATAGGGAAGGAATCTTCTCTGGTGCCCTTTTGCCATTTGTAACATTTTACAAAACAATGCAGGTAAGAAGGCCAATCTGTGACCAGAGAAACAAAGGTTACAGCTGCCTGGGTATGTGACTCAGATGCCATACTCACATTCCCTTAAGGCTCGAAATATTTTAAAGTTCCAACAGCTTAGATATTAAATTACTTATTTTCACATGGTCATTGCAAACATGACCCTAGGACTTCAGACTCTATTCACTTGCAGCTATTTGATTTTTGCCTCCAGAGAGCAGTAGGCTGCATGCTTACTCATTTTCACAGAAAATAGAAGTGCATTTTAAACTGATATTTCTCTTCTCTAATGAAGATACCAAATCGAATTTCTTAAATTTCAATATCTTGGATTTATTTACATCTGAATTTCCAAGTGCTCTATCAAAAAGGTGAGAAAGATTGCCTCAAGGGGTAAGACTGGAGGAAGAAGGAAGGGACCATTAATTTTCCCCAGACATTTCTGTACTGTCATATTGTAACCAAAGAAAAGTGCTACATTAAAAAATAATGTAACTAGAATTTTTTAAAATTCAATCAATAAGTTTCTGATTAGGAATTATATTGCAATATAGTACTATTTTTGCTTCTCCTTCCTCCCGATAAAGAGAAATAATCAAATTTTCAGAGAACGTAAGCTCCTCTTAACTGGATTAATTTCCCACTTAACGTTTGAGGATAGCCTAAATTGAAGCGCCAGATTATGTGAAATATTGGGAGTCTAAGCTCATTGAACAATGGCTATAATTGTTTGTGTCTTTGATTTTTCAGGAAAATAAGTTCATCACACTGGGACATCAAGTAGAGAACAACTTTGAGAAGAATTTCAAAAGCATTTTTGCAATTCAGGAAACCAGCAAGAACAATTCTCAACTTGCATCCATTATGATGCTAACTTAGCCCATTTTTATTTCCTCCCTGCAGACCCTGCAGCAGAGAGCTGCACGGTGTGTGTGGGGTCCCCTCACCTCTGCACACTGCTGTGCAAACAGCATATCCTCTACTTTTCCAAACTTATTAAGTTGCCATTCCTGCCCATTTATTTTTATAAAGAGAAAATTGAAATTGTCTTATCAAATTCTCTTATTGAATAATTTGGAGTGAAAGTTATAATTGAAAATATGAACTCTTTCTGTAAATGATCATATTATATCCTTCCGTTTATTCAAATATTTTGTTAGGTTCTTCAGTAATTTTTACTCTTCCTCTCTCCACACAGGACTTTATTTCTTTATTTTCCACTTTGAAGAATTATGTATTTTTGGTTTTTACTGTGAAAGTGATCTTTTCCCCACTAACTAATTATCACTAATTATTGCCTGTTATTTATATTCCTACTGTCATTTATAAATTTTTATCATTGATTACATAATTAAATACTAGATAGCATATTTTGATTGATTGGTTTATTTATTTATTTATTTTGGCCTTTCACCCTGTAGCAACAGGAAGCCTGTGGTGGCGACATAGCATTTGCAACTTTCAATTCATGGAACTGTAATTGGTTCAGCTGATGGAGGTATTCCTTGCTTGAGCACTAAAACCTCTGACAATTCTTGGATCTGTTAGGGATCAGCTCTGCCAGGGCATCTGAGGAACTTACATGTATAGGGGAAGAAAAAATAATATTTCCTCTACCCGTCTAACTTCTTATATGGGGCCCTTGTAACAAAAGACAGACTAATAGGAGAAAAACAAACAGAAGTTTATTAGAGAGTTTGTATACACACACACACCTGGAGATACCCAGGGAAATAGGTAAGTCTAGGAGGTGACTGGAAATTCAGACTTAAAAACCATTTCCAGGTAAAAACAATGAAAGAAGAATGTGGAAAGGTCAGTTAAGAGAGTGACCAGGAAAAGTGTGGCAAACAAGAGTAAGGTTTGTTATGCAGATTTAAGGTGTCTTCTCCATTGGTAGGAGTCTTTTGTGATTTAGAGCAATCCTTCTTTTCCTGGAACAAAGTGGAGATCTCTTTGACAGATTTACATTTTCCTTACAAAGGGTAACTTCTACCCTCATTTTAGAACTTTTTTGTGTCTGCTGTTTCCAAAATAATCCTTTTGCCAAAGGGGCATATTTTGGGGTGGCATAGTCTGGCCTCCCACATGTGTCTGCACAATGACCACATGGGCAAAGCTTAACTGCAGCTGCTGTGATCTAAGTCTTGGCAGAACACCCTGTGGTCCTTGGAGGACATGAGCGGATAGAAGGCCTGAGGGGAGCTGCTTCAAATGTTTCCCCACTTGTCTGCTCATCTTCTGGAAGCTACTGTTGTAGAACCACAAACTCAGGCTTGCGTAACCACTGTGCACCAAATACTCCAACACTGGTGCTTGGAGATAGAGAAAGGTTTAATTGGTTTGGCCAAAACAAGAGGACAGGAGAACAAAGTCCTGCCTTCCCAGATCCAATGTATTCTGGTTATGGGAGACCAAGTTCCGTAAAATAACAGCTGGTTCACAGCACACACTACATCCTTCATGGCAGTACCCCAACCTCTGGTTGGCCCCAAAGTTAAGTCTTCAACGAACAATCTCACCATTCCAATAATGAAACTTTGTTGTTGGAGTGGGTGATTTTGTAGATTAAATAATTTACTGTATGTAAAAGATCTAAAATAATGTCTGAGACACACGAATATATTGTGGCTACACAGAGCAGGAATTCTGTATTTAAAATGTTAACTCAAGCAAGAGGGAGCAATTCTGATTGCCTACCTAGATATTTGATGGACAATGAGATAAATACAGGCTATGAAAAACATTAGCTCTTTCCAAAGAGACTAATGTCTACTTTCCAAGGTAACTATTCACTGGGAAAAGGAAAATCTTTTAAGAAATTATTGAACACTGGCCCTCAGCTATTTCTAGGGTCTAGAAACCATGATAACTTATCTGATATTAACAGAAGAGATTTATGTAAAAAATTCAGGTTTGGTCTCATGGTTCACCCAATCAAAGCTTCTTCTTAATACAATTGATATAATTATTTAGGCATAAGTCATAAATGAATTTGCTCAAAATTCTGTCTCCCTTCATTGAAGTTATGACATAAAGGGGAATAGTCTCCTAAATGGGTAAAAAGTTTAGGGATCATGCCAGAAAATGAGCTTTCTAGGACTATAGTTACCTGGAATAACTGAATAAATTCCATCTCAGATAACCCAATTATTCTATTCATCAAGCTCTCACCTGTATCACATTCTATTTCTAATTCTTTGGCTCTTACATTATATTTTTCATTTAGATTTAGTGTTTAAGTTTGAACTTTTTTTCTTTATTCCTTTTTATTTACTTTGTTGGGTTGAAGGGGTTTCAGTAAAGTGGCCTCATTCTTCCATCA